CCCCAAAACCCCAAAACCCCAAAACCCCAAAACCCCAGGCACTATGTGTGAAATTGAGAATATATTAATAAATTGAAGCTTCAGAAATTAGAGAAGCTTTGTCTTCTTCTTATTCTTCTTAGATTTTGGAGTTTTAGGTGTCTTAGCAGAACTATTTCCTGGAGTATCCTTTCCGTCCTTTGGAGTTTTACTAGATTTAGGAGTCTTTGGTGTCTTAGGAGTGTTGAATTCAGTACCTTGATTAACCTGGTTTCGTCTTTCCTCTTTAGCCTCTTCTTTCTTTGCTTTGAAATCTTCCTCTGCCTTCTTCATATTATCTCTCTTTTTCTGCCTCTTCAAAATTTTAGCTTGTTTAGCATCCATTTGGGCCTTAAGTTCAGGTGGAATTTCTTTTGTTGGCTTAGGTTGAGCCATTGGATGAACAATCTCTCCTGGTTGCTGAACAGTGATCTTTAAAGTAAAGTCGGTCTTTTTATTCTCTAGCAATTCTTCAACGAAAATGGGTCCTTCGAATAAAGGAACGGTGAAAGTACCGAATATGAATTTTCCAAACTCATCATTTAGTCTAATGACTCCGTATGCGACGAGATCGTATTCATTTTCTACTAATTCTCTGGTGATATTAGAAGTTTTGGATGGAATCATGTCTTCCTTCAATTCTAGGTATTGAACAACGCAGTATAGGTTTTTCTTAAGGTCTCTATCCCAGATATCCCACAGATAAGCATAGAAGTCTCTAACAAATGTGGTGTTCTCATTCCAAAGAATTACATCTCCTTTGGAGGTATTGTCTTCTGCACCTTCCATGATGAAGGTGTTTGGATTTTTACCAGATGTAGCATAGAATCAAAGCATATTGTCTTCATCAAAAGTGATATCTTTTCTATATTGGAGACAGACTGCAACTCTGACTTTTCTGGTAGGGAAATACCCAGTTCCAAAATGCACATAAATCTGGAATCCTCTGTTTTTGTATGAAGGGTCATATCCCGGTCTCTCAGGTGTATCTGACTCTTCTCTCACGATTACGTTGTGAATTGGAGGAATAGTATAAACATGAGCATATGATGGATGTCATTTAACAGTTTGGGGCTCATCTGGGTAATCAAGTCTCATCCATAGCATTGTATTTGGAATCCTCACCAACTGGTTTGCAAAATTACTGATGTCTACATTAACATTTGCTGGGGCTTTATAAATAGGAACTTTCCAGAGTCCTGATCTGAGCTCATCTTCCAAGTTGAAAACTCTAAGAAAGCTCCAACCATAACTTTTCCATCGGATATCATCAAGTAAATCATCTTTCTTCTTCGAAGTTGGGTCTCCCGTATCAAATCTTTTGAGTGGATAACCATTATGAATAGCTGCTCTAGCCTCTTTATCCTTCTTATTTAATCCTGTTGGTTTTGGCTTTACATGGACTTCAAAGATCAGCAAAGTGTCTGGATCAGGCTCTACCTCTTTAACATGATGATAGATGTCATACATGCAATAGCCCATTTGTTTTGCAAGGAAATTAGCATTCATATTATCAGCAATACTGACAACTCTTGGTTGGAGGACAGTTTCTCCTTTATTGTACAATCCATAAATAATCTGAGCAGCAGAGAATTTGTCGAGAAGGTTCAGAATGAAATCCCAATAAATAACAAAATTGTCAGTGTACCTCTTAGGAATCTCATCAGGTGGTGTATCAGGTTTAATTTTTGGCCTCGGAGGAGCTTCTACCACAGTTACCGGAGGAAATAGAGGCCTTCTATATTCAGCAGCAAGATCTACTAGCAATCTTTCTAGCTCAATCCGCAGCCTAGAGACTTCTTTGAACTTATTTATGTCTCACTCGATGCATAAGTGAATTTTCTGGTAATTTATTTAAGTATGTTAATCATTTCTTCTTCGCTGATGATCATATGCTTTAAAATTTCATAAATCTCTTGGTCTTCCCAAGGAAGCCAGTGCATTGGACCATCATATGTGTCAATATGGGTTAAGGTCTGGAAGTTAGCCATCCAATTATAAACTTTTTCTCTCGCATATTTAATATTTTTGAAAGATGATTTGAATAAGCCATCCCAGTTATTTACACTGTCTGATATACCAATCCATATCTAGCTGGGCAACTGGGTACTGAACTTGCATAGAATATGGAGCAGAGAATGGATTGATTGGCCATCCACTTGCAGTACCGTTTATTATTGGCATCGATTGAGAAGAGGATAAGGACTTTGCTCCAGTTTGAGTCATTAAGTGATTCTTCATATCATCAATTTGGCCATCAATATTATCTGCACCCATTGTTTTATGATATTTATTCTGAAATTGATCTAAGGTATCCATTACAGCTGATATTGGAGCCTGTTTAGGAACATATGTGGACCGTCTGGTTGATAAATCGGTCGATTCAAAATTTCCCTGATTGTTTTTATAGACATCTCTAGCTTCCCATCCGCTATTGTCATATTGTGTAGCTCTTCTGGTATCGTTTAGCATTGTGGCTGCCGCATACTTTAGAGCATTCGGATTAGTCTCTTGGTATTTCGGAAAACTTTTTTCCATGAAATATTCAATTATATTATTTTAATAAGGGGTTTTGGGGTTTTGGGGTTTTGGGG